GGAACTACAAAGGAGACTATAGGATAGTACTTTGTTGTTCAAGGCCTTGTGGGTTTGGGGTTAAAGGGCTCTTTTTTCGGAGGCTGTCAGGCAGACTTCCGAACTTGCCAGGTTGTATTGGGCCTACTGTAAACTACCATAACCTGCTTGTTGCAATGTCCGCGAAAGCCTGATGCATTTCTGCGAGGCATCGCGGGCTGCCCCGGCAGCTACGGTGGATCAATGGACTGTGGCGGTGGAGGCAGCGCCCCTTCCTGTGGCAGCGCTTGCCACAGTGCCTGTGGGGGTTGCTTTGGGGACAGCACTGGCTGCGGAGGCTGCGGGGGATGTGGATTCGGCGGTTGTGGGGCTTGTGGAAGCTGCAGTGGCTGTGGCAGCTGCGGGTCCTGTGGCGCCAATGCTGCTTGTGGTCCTGGCGGCTGCGGTTGCTGTGGCTGCGGCTGCGGTGGCTGCGGTGGCTGCGGTGGCTGCGGAGGCTGCGGAGGCTGCGGAGGCTGCGGTGGCTGCGGTTGTGGTGGTGGCTGCGGCGGCTGCGGTTGTGGTTGTGGTGGTGGTTATGGTGGCTGCGGTTGTGGTTGTTGCTGTGGAGGTTGCGGCGGCTGTGGTGGCTGTGGCGGCTGCGGTGGTTGTGGTGGCTGTGGCGGCTGCGGCGGCTGTGGTGGTTGCGGCTGTTGTGGATGTGGATGTGCAGGTTGCGGTGGCGGTGTTTATGGCGCCCCCGGCAGCTGCGGTAGCTCCAGTGCATGCAGCGGATCTGGGGCCGGTCCTTGTGGAGGCTGTCCAGGATGCGGCTGTGGCTGCGCTCCTTGTGCAGGACGCGCCGGGTTCCTGGGTCGCAAGTAAGCAGCTTGACTGTGCTGCTAGTGACAATGTGTGCTGATTTAAATTCACCGAATTGCAACTACTTCGGAATGCCTGTCCGCTCTAATAAAACTGCAGGCAGTCTCAAATCCGAAGCCCTGAATGCCAAAGATGCCCCAATGTGTCCCAGCTACGGAAAGGTCAACCCCTTCAGGAGGTGAGGGATCCTTGAAATGCAGGTTTTTTTTTTAACTGGGTTTCGGAGCCCGAGCTCGGTTGTTTAAGGGTTTAGGGGTTTAGAAAGCTTAGGGGGTTCGGGGGTTTAGGGCTCGGGGGTTTGGTGCTCTCTCAACTGCCTTCCAGCCCCAGCCCCTCCGTTCAGGGCGACCCCTATCTGGCCGAACTCTTACTCTTACGTTACATTGAGTTAGAAGCAGCAAGGTGCGCCATGCGCTTGCTGTCACCCAAAGAACTATAGAGGTTTCAGCCTGTTAGCAAGGGCTTAGGGCTTATAGGGTCTATAGGGCTTCGGGTTTGGGGTTTACGGTTTGGGGTTTAGCAAGGGGTTTATGGCGCCCCTTCCAAGCACGCCCTGCACCCAGCATCTGTGTCGCTTGCAACCTCGCTGAGTTATAGAATACGTGGGCCTTACCTATGGCCTCCATTTAACCAGCCTGATGTTCAGGATCTTGTAGCCACAATGACTTAAGACTACATAGTGACTATGTAGGTATACCTCCCTCAAAATCGTAAAAGGTCCTAAGGCCCATGCTTTGGAAACCTGGACCTAGACCCTACAAGCTCCACGTCTCTTCATGCCGCGCAGGAAGCCTGAACCCCAAAACAAATCCCCCAAACTGAACAGCTATCGAAAGCCCAGGCCCTAAAGCCCCCGAAAGCCTACACGCTTTAGGAACCAAGTCCTTATATCCATAGTCTCCATTGCAGTCCCTTTTCTGGGATACGTTTCAGGAACCTAATATGCCCTAAACCCCAAACCCTAAACCCTCTGTTGGGGTTACATTTTAGGATCCTCTATAGGTACCATACCATCCCCTGGCCGTGCCCCCAACTCCCACCCGGCCTTGCAGCGTTTTAGGCTCTAGGGCGTGATTCTGATATGATGCAACCCCCCAAACCCAAAGCCCAAAACCATCATAGTAGAGTTCAACAAAAAACTTCAGACTTAACATCACCTAAACAGTAAACCCTAAACCCTAAACCTTAAAAAGCCCTAAGAAACCTTCATAAACCTCAAACCGCCCGTAAGCCCCCAGCAATCTCTAGGTGCAGCGGCCCTGGATGCACAGGAGCACCGCCCAATGGGGTGGGGAATCCGGGAGGTGCCCCAGAGACGTCAAAACCTGTTTGGCAAAACCCGTTTGGGCTTAGGGTTTAGGGTTTAGGGTTAGGATGAAGGGGGCTTTGCAGGATTTTCGCACGGATTCCATGGGTTTCGCTACGTCCATAAGGAAGAGATCTGAAGCTATAGGGATCCATTGCAAGATTGCTTCGGGTGGTTGTAGCTCTGAGAGTCTGAAATGAAAGACGAATATTTTATACTTGGGGGATGATACGATTATTGGATACTTGGACTGCCAGGGCAGCATCTTTCTGCAAGAAGTTGGGTGTGAACTCCGTGGCAGTGGGATGTATGTGACTTCATCTTTTCTTGTATTTACTGCCGGCTTTGGTGCGTAGCTGCTTTTCATTCAGCTCGGCGAGCTTCGGGCGTTCGGAAGCTAATCTTACGGTCGACGGCCTGCTCTGCAAATGATAACCCTCACACCCACGTATTGGAAGTCTCGAAGCCGAGAAGACTCGCGCTAAACTCGAAACCTTTTCTTAAGCCCCATAACCCACACTGACCTACACACTCCGAATTCAAACCCGAAGGCGTAAACTTTAAACCCTAAACCCTAAACTTTAAACCCTTATAAACCCTAAACTTTAAACCCTAAACCCTAAACCTTAAACTTTAAACCCTAAAGCCGAAGCCCTAAGCCCTAAACAGCAGGCCCTGGCTGCGCAGCCGATGCTTCTGGGATTCCTCCGCCGCCTCCTCGCAGTGATCCGACCGCTGAGCAGCAACGAAGCTCCAAGCAGAGGATGCCTGGCTATCTTTTCTTTAACATGCTATTTTTGCTAATATACTAGTAGGTTGTACTTTAACATGCTGATATAGGATTCGCGAGGATGTACCATGATGACTGACTATTGATGGATTGATTGATTGGTATGGTTTGCTTTGCTTTGCTTGCTTGCTTGGTTGGTTGGTTGATCGGTGGGTTGGTGGGTTGGTTGGTCGGTCGGTTGGTTGGCCGATAATCCTCGTAATATGTAAATACATGTACACATAGGAAATAGCACATTTCGGGCCCCGTTTAGATACATATACATAGAGCCTTGTATGGATACGCAGATACATATGCCTTTCTTTTGGGGTGCAGGGTTTGGGGTTTAGAGTTAGGGTGTGGGCTTCAGGGGTTGAGAGTTTAGGACTTTAAGCTTGAGGGGCATGTTTGCCTCAAACTCTTTCTCTGGGTGTGGCCATGCCCCAGACCGTCGGCACTGTGAAGGCTAGCACTGGCTGTGGTCTACGTGTGCCTTTCTCAGGTCGTCACCAAGGGTAGCCTTGATTGGAGAGCGCTACTGCATGAAATGCTCGCAAGCATTTTCCCACTTCATGTCCTGTGAGGAAGCTGTGTTAGGTTAAGCCGTGGAAGCTACACAGCTCGAGTCGACTTTGGATGACGTGGTCCAGGCGACACAGCTGGATCCGGAGTCATTCTTGTCTCCTACTAGGGAGGCCTCCCAGAGTTTGGAGCAAGATGCCATGGCGCTCTCCAGTCCTCGCGGAAAAGCTCCGGTAGCTGCCGAGACAAGCACTCCAGCGCGACCGGGCAATGGGGGAGCCTTGCGCAATGCATTGGTAGAGCCGTCGCAATCGAGTCCAGCGACAACCGTGCCGGCAGACTTTCGGACGTCGCAGAGGAAGGCCTCGCCTTCGGCTCCGGAGTACACGCCGGTCTCGAATCTCAGAGAGCATAGCCACTAGTGGAGCACGTTGAAGTTCAACAGCGACCTCCGTCTCCAGACCTGCAGCTTCCCGTGGAATGCCGCAGCAAGAGAGTGGCGTTTCGGCTGCTGAAGCTCAGTGAGGACTGTAGATGCGCGCTGTTGGCAATCTACAGTGTGGCTCTCCACAAGATCCCGTCATGTGATGGCAAGCAAATTAGCAAGTCACTCGCCAACTATGCGGTCACTGAGACTATGCATGCAATACTACAGGGATGGATGGAAGAGTTCTGGACTACACAAGGACAGCAGAGGAACAAGACTGTCAGGAACTTCTTGACGGACCAGGACTTTCCGAAGGCAGCCACTGCAGATGGGCGTCCTCGTGCACCGCGCACACCAGGATCGACGCCACCTTTTTCAGTCCTGTGTTGACAGTAACAGCGGCAACCAGGAGCTGTCCAAGATGCTCGCCAAGCAGAGGGCACAGCCGGCGAAGAGGCCTGCAGCAGCCTTGAAGAAGCCAGCTGCGTAGGAGAGACCGTGCAAGGCCATAGCCATTCTAAAATTCAGTCATTCAGCAAATTGAAATTTTTTGTCGGCTCGGGCGGCTTGGAGACTCAGAATCGGCTGGGGATATCCCCGGTTTAGGGGCCCAGAATCGGCTAGGGCCATCCCCGGCTCGGCGGTTTGGAGACTCTGAATCGGCGATCACCGGTTTTGGAATGTCCCAAAACCCTAAATCCTAACCCTAAACCCTCAAGTGAGCAGGCTCCGGACGTGCTGCTCTGCAGTTGCACGCAACCCGCAGAGCAGCACGGACATCTGAGTCTGTTTGCAAGGACGAGGTGGATCAGTCCGCCGATCTTTAAACCAGTCTTTAAAAGACGTGCATGTTGCTGCATCACAGGATGCAGTCTTCTCTATCCTAGCAGCTGCACCGCTCGCTTGCAATAAGGCTGGTCATGGTCGTGGTCGTCGTCGTCGTCGTTGTCCTCGCCGTCGCCAGTGAATCGTCCTCGTTAATTCTCACCTCTACAAACAAGACAGAATGCAAGAATAGCCTTTGCTTGCGCGAGGATGTACGAGCAGAAGGCGTCTGAGGCTTTTGATGCCCTGCTGATGCAGCCGCTGGGGCGATCGTAGGATCCTGCCCATCGAACCCTGCTTGAACCCTAGAACCTAGCTACATTTTGGGGATTTCATGCGAGGATTTCCTGAAAGCACATAGGTTTGGGTTTAGACAAGCCCTCCATTCCGTGGTTGGAGTAGGGTGTAGATTCAGACCCCTGCACCTCTTCAGAACATAAAGTAGAACATAAAGTAGATGGACAAGCAAAGCTTGAGCACTGTGGACTTCTTCTAGCTACATGGCGTTTCGCCGTGACAACACGGCGCAGCCAGTTTCACTAGCAGTTTGAAGCTCTAGCGTAGCGTCGCATCGATTGCCAGATGACCGTGCCACGGACTGCGGCTGACGATGGTCCACCCGGCTCTCAAAACATCTGCGAGGATCGTAGGTCCCAAGTTGCTTGTTTGGGGTCGTAGGTGTTCGTAGCAGAGTGAGCCTGAAACCAAGTGTTGCTGGGTTGCAAGGCAAAGTCAACAAGCTGTATAATGTAACCCTAAATAATGTCGTTACCACTTCAACACTTCTCTGTAGGGCTCCCGAGGAGAATTTTATTCCCTTATACAGCCCCAGACCCGTATGCCGTGTGGCCGGTGACCTATGTGGAAGTTGCTTGCCGAGCGTCCCGCAGGAGTTGCACAGAAAACACTAGGGGTTCAACAAAACCCTTTGAAAAGCTGAAACTCGCTCAACATCAACACGGTCTTGCTCTTCACACTTGCTGCGTGTCATGTTTGCATGTGCGTGTGCGCGTAAATGTTACAGTCATCTTTTTGACATCATCTGGGCGGAGTCTTGTTTTATTGGAAATCCTGGGGCTGAATCGAAAACGGCAGTTATGACTCGGCCTAAGGCTTGCCTCGTTATCGACTGTTGCACAAAGCATGCTTTGCGTCAACACGGACTGCTGAATTTATCGGCTCTGCAATGCAGCCGCCAACAGACTAAACCTCATATTGGAGCCTCAAATCACATACACGAGCATGTCGCATGCACCTGCAACATAGCAGTTTAAGAGGCGGCCGGAGCGCGCTGTAAGCCCGTGCCCCCGGCTGCGTTGAGCGTGCAAAGCCATGCTGTCCAGCATCGTCCGCAGCACCACGCGCCAGCGTGCCCGGGTGCTCCTACAGGATGCCGGTCTGGGATCGAAGCTTCAAGTAGGGCGAAGGCCCCTGATCCTCCAAGTATAGGTCCCTTTCATAGAGGAGCCCTTTAAGGAAACCTATAAGTTACTCAGTCCCCTGATCCTCCAAGTGTACAAGGATGGGTCGTTCCGCGGGCTTCCGGGGGCCCGTCCAGCACAGATGCAGCTCGCGACCCGCAGCTGCCAGAGCCTGCCTGGCCCTGTCCGGTCGCGGCCGGTGCTTTGCTGGAGACGTGCTTTGGGTGCTTCCCTGCTACTTGCCTCTTGCGGCCAGATTCTGGAGCACCTTACTTTGTTTGTCATGATAATGATTATACCTCTCATTGTTTTTTGTTATATATATGAATCCTCTGTATATATCACAGAGATACACACAAATACTGTGCTGTTTCTTGATGGCTATGTGTTTCTTATGGTTGCATTTTGGACTTTGCTGATAAGCGATAGACGTCGCAGCTGTAAAGTCTCTAGCTCTTCGGGCGAGTCTACGGCCCAGGTGGCATGCTGGCAGGACCCGCGGCCTTTTCTCTCCGCCGTTCCGATGGGCCCGCAAAGTGCGAGGAAAGCGCTGTGCAAAGCGACAAGGGCCAGGACGTACTTGTAATCCCAAAACCCTGCAAGGTATAGGTTCTGACCCCTCTATTATACCGGGGTTAACTAGGGTACGGTACCCGTAAACCCCACTAAGTAGTAGGCTGTGGCCCCCTTGTTCTAGGGTTTGGATCCACAGGATGCAAAGGCCAAGAGCAGCCCCGTTGCAACGGTCTTCAAGGCCGGATTAGCGTTTGGGGTTCGGGGTTTAGGGAGTTTAGGGTTTGGTGTTTAGGGAGTTTAAGGTTTCTGGTTTGGGGTTCTTGAAGGGATCCTGGAAGGGATGTACAAGGTTTTACTTGGTGACACTTCGGAGAGCTTGTTAATTTCATTGTATGGTTCCTACAGTGTACCTGCTCATAACTACTTTTCAAGGGCCCCAAACTACAACCCAGTTTGGGGCAGAAATGGTTACAGAAGGCCGGCTAGCTGCAGAGTTTTCACGGTTCCAAGATGAAGGTAAACCGCTTCAGCGGTTTAGGGTTTAGGTTTTAGGGTACGAGGCAACGCTGAACAACGAAACCCTTGATGTTCGCCTGCCTTCATTTCAGAAGTCATACGTCCTTAAGAGTGGATGCGAGGGGAGCAGCAAGCGACACCCTTGCAGTAGTAAGTTGCAGGAGCTCTACGACGGGTACTAATTGCTATGTCTGTTTAAATCTGCATGTACTTGGCCATTGCCGAATTTCTTGATTCTGGCTCAAAGCACAGGCGCCTCTGGGGATTCTTGGGCCCAATAGTTTCTCGAGGCCACAGAGCTAAATCCTACATCTACATCCAAGCCTTGAACGCCATGGCCTAAACCTCAAACTCCAAAATCTTACAGCCCCTATAGCCTTCTAGCTATCCTGGCACGCTTGATGGCATACATCCTGCATTACCCATAATAAGGAATACCATAATTCCCGGGTCCTTAACACCTAAACCCTAGACCCCTAAACCCCTAAACCCCTAAACCCCTAAACCCTGAACCCTTACCCCAAAACCCGATGAGCCCCTGAGGATGTAAGACTTGCGGGGCGAGCATGCAAGACGTAAGGTTTAGG